ACAACACAAAACAGGTAGCTTACACTGAAGGACCTGGTAGTCTCTCTCTCTCTGTAGTCACATCTTGGGTGCTCACTCAGTTAGCCTGATCTAAAAGATTTGCACATGTGCCAGATTCCTTCCATTTTTTATTTTTATTTTTCGGATGGATTTAACTGAACTAAAGGGGATGTCTTAAAGATTTGTCAGAGTGTTTGTTGGCCTTCGTGCTGCAGCGGCAGACAGGAACATCGATTCGCCAGTGAATGGAATTTCCAGACACTGTTGTCAAATTTTGTTGACCATGATTAAGAAAAGCAATAAAAGGGTTAAAAGTTTGCATCTGCTAGAATTGTGCAAACTTATGTTGGAAATGCAAACAGTGCCTACATAGCACTGCGTTTTGATATTACATCAGTTTCTGTTCATAGGAGATAAATGTTATGGGTGCAGAAAAGTCCTCACCTGAGAGCAGGGTAAAAGTAACTGAATAGATGCCGTTCTCTTTTGTGGCAGCTGTGCTCTCTGTGTAGGTGATGTCCACCTGAAACTTGACCGGCTTCTGGAAGACTGTGGGGCCGGCGGTGGACTTGTACTCTGCCCGGAAACTTGTTTGAGAGATGACGCTGTGGCTCAGGCTGGGAATCTGGGAGAAAAGACAAAAAAAAAAAAGAAAAAAAAAGACAAACATGTACAGATGAGGTTAAAATAGGTAGCCAACAATTGCAGGTAATGTGATAATAAATAGAAAACGAGTGATATCATCTTCTGCTGCCCAACCGTACAAATGACAGGGTAAAATGAGCCCTCATTAAAATACCCTCTGCATACCATGAGCCCCAGTTGAAACTCTAAGAAGATTAATGCCTCAGGGAGTAGCCATGTGTGCCACAGAGACTTAAGCTAATATAATCTGGAGTCATCCAAAACATGGCCCTCTCCCTACCAAAATGAATTTCTATGCCCAACGAACAGGTGAGCTCTGAAATTGTCACGTTTTGCTACAGTGCTGAGGAGGCTTTGACATTCCATTAATGTGAGTGTGCTCTGAGGTATAATTCCACTGATTCAGGTGCCAATCTCCTGTCTGGAATACCAGCTTGCGTAACCCAGAGGAGAAAATAGCTGCCTTCAGGGAAGGGGAAACGGATCTGACATTGACCTGCGGCGGCAGAGCTGCATTTACTTAGACTATGTTAAATCTAACCGGGGTGAGGATGGGTTCTGTTCAATTATGTTGACTGAATATCAACTACCGCAGCGGCGTGTTTGGTCAATCTGGTTCTGTGCTTATTGACGTTGGCCCCAAAACATACATACATCCACAGCATTACAAAACTAAAACCCAGATGTAATCTACAACTTAACTTTACGATTTGCTCGTAAGCCCATGCTGATGATGTAGAGGCAAAGGCATCTATATGCTAATGATCAGTGCCGTGCTGTTTCTCTTGACCTCAACAGAGTCCATAGCAAAATACAAACAGTCCACTGAATTACCACATAAAAAGAAGCCATGTTGGAAAACAAACATCAAGACCTCACCATATGCACATATAGATGTAGGAAGCAGAGTCAAAGATGATCTTACCGAAAGGAAGGCTTGAACAATGTCTGCCTTAATGGAGCTGAGAGGCTTGTCTTTGATGACAATAAAGATCTGCTCTTCTTTTTCCAGGTTGATGAAGTTACCAAACCAGGATTTTTTGGCAAGTCTGAAAGGAAGAAAATTAAGTGATTGCAGCTCATCATCTGACAGACAGCATAGTACAATTCTCGGATTCAAAATTTGTTAATATTGTTCCCTTTCATATGTCATTTTTCCATTGCTACTTTTACTGTCAAATGTGTTGCATGTAAGCAAAAACTGCACAGTATGCCAAGTGCCTCCCTATCAACTTCTTTCAACTGAGCAGCGAAGGAGCCTGGCAGACATAACAGTTATCTGTGGGCATTTGGTGTGCGTTGATTTAAGTACAGTTCCTACCTGTAGTATTGCTCAGGCCTTCTTTTCCAATTAATAAAAAAAAAGTGAATTCCCAATAGTGAATACTATTTTTTCTTAGACTAATTGCAGTTCAAAGACCTCTAGGTTGCCATGTCATATGATAAGCCATGAGAAAATTAGGAATAAGTCACATAAGTCGATAAGTAACGGAGACAAAAGAAAAAAATTCCTGGAAAGAAAACTGCCATTTTAGTTTTTCTTTTTTCAGTATGTGGTAGTAGAAGTCATTAAGAAAACACTTCATGTTTTAAATAGCAGTTTCAAGTTTTAAAATGGCAAACTTTGTGTTTGAATTCAGCTTATTTTCAGAATAAGTCTGAGCTGTTTCATGGTTTTGGGAAAACTCAAAGCTGGCCGACTTGGTACTTTATTGGCCATTCACACACTTTTGTAACTCGTTTTGGCAAATATAATTAAAGTCTGAAAGGCAATGATCCACTGAAAAAACAGAGGCTCCATCCCAGATCTGTTTACTGGTCCAGGCCAAATGCTCACCCAAAGCAAGTGCTCTGGGACAAACTTGTAAATAACTTGTAAATGCAGTTACGTGCATTTACAAGTTATCTGCAAATGCTAAGAGAGCATTTATCTTCTCTACGCATTAATGTTAAGGACTGATCCAATTTTTAGCTGGATCAGTCTGACTGGTATTTAGCCATTTGGAGAATCAAAAAGTTCATATTTTAGTGAGTCATAAGGGACGCTACATCCAACACACACAGATCTAAAACACATTTTAAAATGGCATAATGACACAAGTCTGCAGTTCAATCAGGATGTAAATGATGAGAAAAAAAAAAGAATTCTCCACACTGTCTGAAAACAACACTTGGTGTGTGTGTGTTTAGTCACATTAGTAACCTCTTGGTTACCTTAAATGTGTTGTTCATCCAGAAAAATGATACTGGATGAACTTTGGTCTACAATGGAGTTTCAAAACAAGCAAAAAGGACAGCTACCATAAAATTATGCCAAGATATTTGGCATGAAAGTCAGCTGAGTCTTTCCAACTCATCTGTACAGTTAATATTTTCTTTCTAGGCAGGTGGACATGAGGAAACTATACAGCAGCCAAGCAGCCATATCTAGGCCAACCTTCAGTAATCATGCCCACAGGAGTTTGGAACTTCACATGAGCTGACACCCCAACCATTTCCACCACGCATCCCCATAAACCCACTAACTCCTGCTACCGTGAAACATGTCTAACAAGGACCTGGGGTCATCACACCAATCTAAGCAAGCAGAAAAAAATAAAATGCAGGCAAACATTAAATATTTGTAGACGCTATATTTTTCAAATGATTGCAGATCATGCATAGTTATGTCAGCAAGTTTCCACTTACTCTGGGGAAGACTCTGGTGTGAGGCTGGACATCTCCTCTTGCGTAGGAACTATGGAAGCAATGGAGACAGAGTAATCGGAGTTAATTAAATTAATGTGAGCCTTTCAGACAGTTAACTTTGACATTGGTTGGTAGTCCAATTTTCAGCCAAATCAGCCTCGACTGGTCATTTGGCCAGTTGGAAAAAATCCAAAATTTCATAAGCGACACTACATCCAACACACACAAATCTAAGATACATTTTAAGATGACATGACACAGGTCTGCAGTTCAATCAGGAAGCAAGAGAGTGAAAAACAGATAGAAAGGCTTTTATGAGATAATGGGAAGGCTAAACATACCAAGAAAGTTTCCTTGCTTCGTACTTTTAAATTTTCAGTTTGTGTTATGCAATGCTTTTCATTAGGAAATGTTGACAGCCTTTTTAAATCCCAGAGTTAGGTAAGACTCTATCTTCTCAAAAGAATCCATACTCCTGCGTAGGAATCACCGTTTCAGCTAGCCACACTTACAGCCAATTAAAGATACTGAAACGTCAACTCCACACTATTTCGTCTTCATTCTAAAATAATAAAACACGGCTTTACAGTGATCCTTTTATCTTCTTAAACTGTAAACCTTACACAGAAGCCACAATCGGTTAAAATAGGTAGGTCAAAGTTTACACAAACCAGAGATCAGAAATCAGAAGCAAAATGCTGACTGACGTGGTTCTAGTTCAGTGTTTGCAGGAAACATGAATTCAACTGGAATGCAAGTACCTTGGAGTTTCCTGCGGTGGAAGCGTGGTGAGCCGAGGAAGCTGTTTTTGATGGAGTTAAGGCGCGTCCTCCAAGGCATGCCTCCAATGGATGGGCTTGGGGGCGGTGTGGGAGTTGGAGTTCCTGCAGGACTGTCCTTGGGAGTATGCACTGGAGTGCCTTTTGGGGTTGGGAGGGGGCTGCCTCGAGGGGAAGGGTGAGGGGTAACCTGTATGAGGGGGATAGATTTGGGTCGGTGGTCAGTAAATGGAGAAGGGACAGGCACCACAGGGTGAAAGTGGTGTAGCCGGATGGGTGACATTGGCGTGACCGGACTGAAGGGCACAGAGAGTTGGGGTTTGGCAGCGTAATGGGAGCGGCGTACCTGGGGGCTGCTTGGGATGGGAGTACTGGAGATGGAGGAGGCAAAAGGAGAAGGTGAGGATGGAGAAGTAGGAGTGGGAGGCACGGAGGCAGAGGGTGGCTGTGATGGCAGCTGGCAGGGAGTGGAAGGTTCTGATTTGGCAGCAGGTGCTGGATCAGAGGAGGTTTCAGGAAGGGGATTTGATCGAGTGGCTTGCAGAGGCTTTGGGGCAACTTTGGGCTTAGCTGGGAGTGTCTGTGTCTTGTTGAGGGCTCCAGGCAGGGGTTCACTGTTTGGAGCCAGGGAGTTAGGTGTGGAGATGCGTGGGCCTGTGCGATTTGGACAGGGTTCAGGGGAAGGACACGGGCTGGTGTTGGGGGACTCAGACAAGTCAGGGGACTGAGGTGGTACGCAGAACTTTCTGATTGGCTGGATTCAGAACAAGCAATGTGAGGACACAAAGCACAACACACAGCCAAGAGGAAGAACAGGTGGATGAAAAAATTTAAATAAAAGCTCATGAGGATGCACGGAAACACACATAGCCACCAACCACACAAAGGTAAGGAGGGAATAGTAGGAGGAAAAAGAGAATTTACAAGACAAAACAAAAAATAATCATGACATGAAACAATGACATTAAACAAAGACAGAATTAAACTGACATGGGAAACAAATAAATACAATCAATGTGAAGTACAGTCCAAACAAGACATAAGACTGGCTTCTCTTGCGGAAAACAAACAATGATCTGACAGCAGAAAAAAACAAGCAAACACAGATAGATGCAAAAGACATAAGACCAGCTGTGGACACAGTCTGGACTGACTCAACAATAAACGGAAGGTAGTGTCTGTACTGCAGGATCTCTAGGTTCCTAAAAGCTTTATTGATTCTTTTGACTTTTAATGCAGCGACCAAAGAGACAAAACTCCAGTATTTGCCCCTTTTTCCAGAAATAACTCCAAATAGAGTCTCCTGTGGCGAGCACAATCCTGGTGTTCGGTACATCTGAGAAATCAATTTCCCTTTCAGATCAGCCTCAAAGAACCCGTGTGGTGTGTGTGTCTGAGTATAGGGGGTTGTGTCTTTGGATCCTGGATAATCTCGAGTCTTCTAAGGTTAGCCAACTGGAAAAGTTTACCACATGCTCCCCAGCTCTGAGCAAGGACAGTTGGATTTTCTAAAGCATTCTTATATGTGGATTTCCGAAGAGAACGGAACAGAGAAAACAGAAGCTGGGATAATGTAAGTATATAGGATAGAGAGGATGGATAAGAGGCTTCAGGGTTGGTGAAAGTTTGTTGTGCTATCCACTCTGGGAGTTATAGTTTGACTTATGTTGGTAATCCTTACTTTGGTGGACATCTAACAATTTAATACAAAGCCTAAGGTAAATTAATTAAAATGCAATATTGGGTTAATAAGGATTTTGTTAAACAGTGTATCTTTAGAATATTTAAATCTAAAGTGTCAAGGTGGGTGCATTTTAGCAATAATGCAGTGACCAGATGTCCACAAAAAAATCTACACTGCATTGCCAAAAGTATTTGTACATCACCTATTAAAAGGAATCGTTGTGGTTGTGATGTAACAAAGTATTAAAACGTTTGAAGGGTATGAATACTTTGGTGTACAGTGTATACAATAGAAAAGGCTACTTTAGTTTATTTGCAGACAAATTGAACAATAACACAACACCAATAAGGCGGTTTCGGCAGTAGCTGGATGGTCGTTTACCAGTATGAGTGTGTTACAGAGTGTGTGAGTGATTGTGTCTGAGCTTTATGACTTACCCGTGGGCTGCTGAGGGGGCTGGTGGAGAGACCAGAAGAGGCTCCACTAATAGACCGCGACCTGTGGCAAAAACAAGCGACAACACACAAAGGAGCAGAGGTAATTTAAAGGATCAGCCTGTGGCCTGTAACGTGTTTCAGTAAACATATAGGGAGGGTGTGAGGCTGGTTTGCATCCTGCGTATTGTTTAGAAGGCACAACGGCACATTGCAGTTCACAGATGCAGCTGAAACCAGATGTCTGTACATGCTGTGTAAAAAGACACATAGTCTTTCTTTCATACTGTTGGACATAAACTTCAATCCCAACAGAAACTTTTTTTTTCTAACTTATTGTTCAACAGTAAAAGAAAAACAAATTGTGTGCCTTTGTATGCAGTGTGTATAAATATCTGGATACAACCATATTTTGCTTTTAAGTGCTTCAAACAACAGCTGATCTAATTAGGAGGGTAACTGCACTACTACAACAACAAAAAACCCACCAGCACCAACTTGATAATCTGCATTACTAACATAGACTCCAAGCAATTAGTAGCACACCACTTAACCATTGGATTCAACTATATTGATGTGATAAATCCATGACCAATTTTCTACTGACGACCATTCAAACTAGTTTTCCTCCGTTCGGCACGTTAATAAAAAAACAAATTGTTTTTTTTTTTGTTTGTTTGTTTGTTTTTTAATGCCTTCGGGCCTGCTAAGTATCTTGAGAAGCAGAATAAAGAGGAACATTTGGTTCAGTGCCATTTGTCATGTTTGTCATTTTCCTCACAGATGCCGTCAATAACCCCCAATGAGAAGAGTCTTGCTCAGAAATGAACAATCACAGCCCAATCTGTCTCCATCAAGCGCACACGCGTACGCACACAAATACACAAAAACAGGCGCCTGTCAACACTTGGAAACACCAGCTGCTCACTGTCACAACACTGTCCCTTTTTGTCATTCGGTCTAATAATACCCCCCTCCTCCCCTTTCGCTCGGTCGCTTCCTTTCTCTCTGCATCTCGGTGCCGATGCAGTTGTGAACATGTGGATGTACATGAATTGTTGTTTCCTTTTGGTAAAAAGAACTTTTAACAGCAGGTTTACTCTTCAGCACAACAGACAAACATAACAAAAGGTCCCTTAAAAGCTGCCATGTGAGAAAGCAAAATTTAGAAACACCCACTGCCGAGTTATATTTGTCAATCTTCCACTGTCCGTTTTCAGAGAGAATTTTTTTGCACGCATTCAGTCACACATGAGTAGGCGATGGTGAGATCATATTGGCAGGGATTTCTTGTTTCACTGTGTGGAGCAGACCAGACAGTTGCTATCATTTACATTGAGGACCAACGGTCCACTGAGACATAGCCACGGTTGCTTACCCCTACAATGCTTGTAAACTTAATCTGAACGTGGCCAGAACTTCCGGCCATTTGGAGCATATTGTTCCGAGGCGCTCTGCATCTGTTAGTGTTGGACCAGCAGGTCTATAAAGCTCATGTTACAGATGGTTATGCTGTACAGTAATGGGCTGTCAGACGCTCAACACTGCTTCACAGTAAAGATGAATTATTGTTGTTGAGGGATTAATTTACAATGAACAGCACACACAATTTGCGAACCATTCATCATATATTAGAAAACCCAGACGCTACATCATTAAGTCATACATGACACGCTGTGTGATCAACAGTTGCATGTTGCATGTCTGTGTACACGGCTTCTTGCTTGCTTTTAAAGCTGCGTCCATGCACAGTGGTATAAGAGGTATATACCAATACTGGTTATGTGGTACATTTAAATCTAAATAATATATCCTACTTTTTGAAAATGAGTATAAATTTAGACTCAGATGAGTGACATTCAGAGCTTCAAACCTGTTTTATTTTACAGGTTATGGAAACAGACAAGTAAATCTTAAACATTACTTGAAAAGGACATTATTTTAAACTGAATTGCAAATCTGAGGCACATCCCACTTATTAAACTATAAAAGGCACATGGTAAAATATTAACTTCTTTTTGTTTCATCTGCTGCTGGACCCCTCCCAGGTTTGTTTTTTGACCTAATTTTGCATATGGGAAATGTACTTGAAGTACCAAAGTTAAATGTGGCATGTCTCAACCAAAGGTAAAGAATTTGTCTTTGAGTATTGCAATACCACAAATTAAAACACAAAACATTCAGTCAAGATTAAAAAATGGTTTAAAAATGGGGAATAAGCTCATAATTAAGGTATGAGCTTATCGATACCTTACAAAGTTCTGTTTTCTAGATTAACACCTAAAATAATAACAATAAAAAAGACTTTCAAAGTTTAAAGTAAGTGGGAAAAGTTCAGTCTTTACTTTCTCTCTTCCTTTGTCACAGACTGTCCCACCAACGGAGATTCTCAACATGAGTAAATATTCATGTAAATCAACATATGGTTTAAATTCATTTCCTCCTCTGAGCCCTGAAAACCCCCTGAGGACTTGTGCATTAATATTCACAGCTTTGCAACGCAGAACAACCCCTGCAGTTTCTGCAGCAGACATCAGAGTAAAAGGTGTTTTATTTTTACTCATTTTAGCCTCTTAAGTAAATCTGAGTCTGTAACGACCAGGGGAGTCTAACTTATTACCACCGTTTAAGCTGCTACGTTTGGACTGTATGAAACAACTAGAGCACATCTGTAGGAAAAAAAAAATCATTGATATTCCCTTCTTTGCAGCACAGCACTTTTCCATTTTCATTTCCATCTCATTAACCTTCCTTCATTTCCTCTTGCATGTTATTAGGATTCAAAGTTAAATCAATTGGATTTATCATGCTTTATATAAATTTTAAGCCCAGCTTCTGCATAAAATGGACAAAATAGACATTCAGATGAGGATGCTGTCATTTCTATTAATATGCAACGCGGCCACAACTACATTTATCGCAAATCTATTCAATTACACTTCACAGAAAATATCAGATTTTAAGTGCTGAGCACAATACTATCACAGTATGAGCTTCCAACATTTAGGTTGTGTAATTTAAAATAAAGCAGTTTCCTCTCTCTTTCACTCATTTTTGCTGGCGGAAATGTATCATGTCAAAACACATGTTTCAAAGTCAGCCCTCTCTCTGACAGCCTCTGATCTTAAGTTCTACGAATCTTCTGAGCTGTCGACAAAAGTTTGCTGTTGGGGCAAGATAAGGTTAGGTTCAGAGAAAGTCAGTTAAATCTTTGGACATTTCGCTGCTCTGTATGTTCTTCCCAGCACCAGGACCTTGTACTCACACACACACACACACACACACACACACACACACACACACACACACACACACACACACACACACACACACACACACACAC